TAGATAGATAGATAGATAGATAGATAGATAGATAGATAGATAGATACTTTATTGATCCCCAAGGGGAAATTCAAGATTATATGCAGATAAGAAGGAGATACATGTATAAAGATGCTCATAATCTGTGTGTCTATGGGCACATGTGAGAGGAGTAAACCTTTAAAATGAACACACTGGTGAGTGAATACCGAAGGACAAGTTTTGCTCTCCAGCTTTGACTAAGCTGCGTTAATATTGGCCACAGAAACTCAAAAGTGAACCTCACAATGTGACCACATGGCTGTGGATTTCCTCACGAGGTGCTCCAGTGTCACCAAGTGAAATTATAGCGTTCACGGTTCAAAAAGAATATTCAGAATATTGGCTGGGTCACTGCTAAATGACACTTTTTTTTCCTGCAGTGAAACACACATTCCTGTGTTATTAATGGAAAAAGTTGGTCCCGCTGTTAAGCTGTTGCTTAAATATCACAACCTTTAGCTCTTTAGTTCACATCAAAGCGGGATTTTAAGCTCGATTTAACTCAATCACACAGACCGGGGCCTTGGCGTGAAGTCCGAGTGCTTTCAGTGGGCCTTACTATACCTTTAAGATCAAGAAAATGGATCGCCAAAGTCTTCCTTTTAAACAGGAAACAAACATTTAAACCCCTTTCCCTTAAAAAAATCATCCAGTGTTTGTTTTCATCAGCTATTAATGCATTTTTTGTGAGTTTAGTCGGTCTGAGGAACAGCCATCTGCTCTGGGCCCGGCGGGCTAATGGACACATTCATATTAATACACAACACTGATCAGTCAAAACACTCACCAGTGTCCTGACCGGAATAGCACGTGGTGATTAAAAACCAAAGCTGGAGCATGATCTGTGCTCCATCCCAAACATTTACGGAGGTGGAATTAGCTAATGGGAAGTTACCCGGCACACTGTTACACCAAAGGGCTTTTTCTCTTTAAAAGATTTGGTTTGATTCTGCCATGATTGATCATTCTTCATTTTTAAAGGCAACCAAAATCATCAAGAAGGTATCATTTTCCACATAAAGCTCATTGAAAGCTGAGTTTTAGCTGTAAAACATTTTTTAAAAAAGACTTTACTTCTCAGCTTGACCTTTAACCTTTCACTACCCCTTGATTTCTGGGA